GGTTGCATATTTTTCACCTTTCCTGCTTCCAAAAGTATACTTAATGTCTCTACAAGTGGCGCCCGAACTAAAAAGGGTTGTGGATGATGATTCTCCGCACCCAGGATTTGGCGACTAGGTTCCCTAAAACCATAGTCGCCCTTTAAAAAGGGAAGAATATAAGGTATTTCTCCCACTTCCCTAGCGTGCCTTCGTGGTGTAGTGGTTCTGCACACTGGGCCAGTACTCCAGAGGTCCATGGTTCGATTCCCGGCGAAGGCGGTTGCATATTTTTCATCTTTCCTGCTTCCAAAATTATACCTAATGTCTCTACAAGTGGCGCTCGAACTAAAAAGGGTTGTGGATGATGATTCTCCGCACCCAGGATTTGGCGACTACGTTTCCTAAAACCCTAGTCGCCCTTTAAAAAGGGAAGTATATAAGGTATTTCTCCGACTTCCCACTCCACTTAGCCTTCGTGGTGTAGTGGTTCTGCACACTGGGCCAGCATTCCAGAGGTCCGTGGTTCGATTCCCGGCGAAGGCGGTTGCATATTTTTCATCTTTCCTGCTTCCAAAAGTATACTCTACAAGATGACCTCTGTAATTTTTAATGAGTGACTTTTGAAATGGGATACTGAACTAAAGAATATCTTTCTTCTTATTGACAACTGTGGTTGTTAAACATATTGAAATTGTATACTTGGAAGGAAATGCCACAGCCCAAATTAATGAATGGAATCAATGGATCATTACAGCAATGAACAAATATTATTGCCGTGAGAGTCCGTTAAAACATGGGTGGTGTAGACATTGTAAGGATCTTAAGTTTTACTAACGTTTATTTTATTTTAAATCTTTACTATCACTTCTTATTTTCTACTTCCGGCCAGAATTATAAGCGTTAACGTATTTATGCAAAGTTTGTCTGGCGAACGCCAAGTATTTAAGTTGTGGCTTTTTGCCAAGCGAGAGAGAGGAATCAGTTAGTCGAAGCAGGCCGCTTACCTTAGAAGTTTTACTCAGTTGCTGGTTGCCTTCCAGGCCAGAGGTTTTAATCCTCTTGATAACTTTAAACGTATTGTAGTGTTAGCAGTTCTCTGTACTACATACGGCTTCCTGTTAATATAAGGCCAATCTTCCACGTTTATTATTTCAAAGTTAAGAGTTTAGTTTTATTTTTATATTTTTACGTTTAGACCACAAGTAGGGGTCTTTGTATTCCGAAGTTCGGAAGTTATTGTAAATAGAGAAAAATAAAGGGTTTTGTATACCCTTCTTGTGTATCCTGTCTACTTCCCACAGTTATTGAACATAGCTTTAGTAAGCTCTCTGTTCCGAGTCAGGTCCTTGCATGTTCCCGAAGAAAGTAAGACGGAACATTGAACCTGATAACATAAGTGCAAACGAATTAGCCAGAAAAACTAACTTTTTAATGCTTTTCTGCATGTTCTGAATATGTCTCGAAATGGCGTCTCAGAAAAGACAATAAAAAACTGTTTTAAAAATATCAATCTTTTAATAAATTATGAAATAGAGGAAGCTGAAGAAGACAAAGCAACGTCTCCAGCTAAAGCGAATTGTCAGGAGTTTGACGCTTGAGTGAATATTCATGAAAAAATTCGAGTTGCGACACTGATAATAGAAGAACAGCTCTCTGAAATCCAAGCACATGACGTGATAAATTTTCTGATTATGATCATGATGAAATCTATGAGTTGTCTATAAATGCTGAGATAGAATTGCATTCAGAGTATAAAAATTAGGGGTAAATAAATCATTGGAGAAATAATTTCCAAAAGAATTATGAACTTTTGCGTAACGTAACGCCTTGCAGATTTTCCACTAATAATGACTTTGTTCCTGATTAAAATGCTGTAAAGGTACGTATGCATATGTTTCTACTTGCATTCATATTAAGTTACATTTATATTAATCTATTTGGGGCATTTATATTAAATTTCCTTGCTTTTTTGAAAGAATTGTTTTCTCATCGTTTAATATTACCATTTGGTTAATGTTATCAAAACGCAGTAGATCACATTAAGCGGCGTCTACTCTATGTAGGTTTTGTAGGTCTTTTATAAATAGCATACAAAGCAACATTTTTGAAAAAATCTTAGAAATTATTCTGGAAAGAATCTGAGAAGCAAATAATAGGATGCAATCACATAAATCTTTTGCATGTTTTCCTTATATAACTGGCGTCTGAAGACCGAACTGTTTTAACTATTTACAAGGAAAAGTTTTAAGTAAATTTCGATTTTTACTTCCTTCTGTGAAGTAAAGGAAGTCATGTAATCACGAAAAATCCCGGGTATCATAGTTCAACGAAAATATTCACTTTGACCGCTATCGAATGCAATTTAACGATGTTTCTGTGTGACATCCGTACGTAAGGACAGAATAAAGGACTCCTTTTCCCCAAACGGAATAACAAAACTGATTTAAAATTGATTCAAAAGATAATTTTTTCGTACCGTCTGTACGTACGTATGTACGTATAACTCAAAAACAAGAAGCTTCAGAACGCTGAAATTTTGTATACATGACTGCTATAACATGTAGTTGTGTACCTTGTATTTTGATTGCAATCGGCCGCACCAAAAGTACTAACCATAAGAGCAGGTGTTAAATACTCACTCTAAATCATTTAACTGGTAGGGATATGATAATTTGTTCCTAAACCTGAGAAGGCGGTATAAGTTGGATGACTAATCAGTTGAAGGATTTGTATATAGTGTAATTACTCAGTTTTATATATTGTAAAAAGATAATTGTCTTCGGACTTATGCTGTTACTAAAAAAATGGACCTACAGTAAGACCCCGCTTAACGCTGTTTCGTTTAGCACTGTTTCGGTTTAGCGCTCTTTTATTTCAACCCGGGGATTCTCCGAAATTGTTTCCAAACAATTGCGCGAAAACAATTGCGCGAATGCGCAGCGCTAGGTTTCCAAACATATCCGAAACAGTGTAGTTGTGTTTCTTGCTTTGTGGACGCATTTTTATCATTTGAAACATTTGTTGACATTATTGTAAGTTTAAATTTGTATAATACTATAACGATTAATACAGTGACAAATATTATGATCTTTAGTTTTTATCATGGGTGATAATAAAAAACAAGAAAAGAAAGCAACCAGAAAAAGCATTTCACTGGAAACTCAAATGCAAGTGATTAGAAGATTAGATTCTGGTGAACGTCAATCTCAAATTAGTGCTGCATTGATTTTGGCAACTTCAACAATAAGGACAATTCTTAAGAATAAAGAAAAAATACTGTCATCGGCAACTGCAACTACGTCAAGCTCTGCAACTAGAATTACCCGTTCTAGAAATAACATTATAGAGGAAATGGAAAAAACGACTGTCTATATGGATTGACGACGAAATTGAACGCAATATGCCATTAAGCCAATCTATCATAATGCCTTCTTTCACACAAAAAGGCAAAAATTGGAAACCCAGAATAGACTGAATGATCTGACTGAGAATTTTATTTGTTTTTTAAAAGTATATGCGTTTATATTGTTTTTATTTTTGTAAGAAATAAATGTTTGATTTTCTTTTTATTAAAAAAAACATTATTAAATTTAATGCCTAACCATTTTTTATCCGTCTTCCCCTAACCCCATTATTTACATGTTAAGATAGCCTCGCTTAGCGCTGTTTCGCATTACGCTCTACTTCGATGGAACGTATCCCCCGCGTTAAGTGGGGTCTTACTGTATTTCATAATCTTTAGTCTGCCAAATAGCTCTTTGACAGTGAAAATTCCTTTTTTCCTTTCTTAAATTCTTAATCCTTTCGACACGACAATTAGGCAGAAATTAATTAATTTCCATTCACTAGTATTTTCAAAAAAACTTTAACAGACGGTTTCACTCAAATAAGAATTAGCACACCTATTATTCTGGAAAACTATTATGTGAAATAGATTGTACATCGTATGGTACAGGGTAACGCATTCTTTGCATAACCCAACATTACACACTGGGCAACTCATATTTGTTCTTTTCTCTACGTTCATTAGTACAACGAGCACGGTGGCGTCTTGATCTTCCAACTATTGGAAGCTGATCCCCAATATTCAGGAGATTCTAAGTGCTTTTTAATACAGCAGAAATTTTTTAACTTTTAGTGTGACAGGTATGTCCCCGTTAGTAGTCAAAGGGTTAAGAGGCTTTGTGGATAATTTTTGCAGAACCAAAAGTAAAAACTGTGCTTAAGTGCTCATTTACCATTAGTTATCAAAGATTCGTTTGTTTCTCCTTTTTTAATTTGAGTTCCGTGTTCCTTGAGCCGAGGTTTTGACGCTGGTTCTCCTTTTTTAATTTGAGTTCCGTCTTCCTTGAGCCGAGGTTTTGACGCTAGCTTGGTTTAGCCGATGGATCTTAAACCCCAGTGACATGATATGCTGTAAATTCCCGAAGAATAAAAATCAGAGATGGAATTCTTAAGAATCGAACGATGAATTTTATTGGCAGGCGGGAAAAGACATGAAAGCTGACCTCCTGGAGAATCCGAGGAATTTTATTTACTGACATAAGGCTAGAAAAGCAAAAATTGTTCCATATTTTCTGCAAAAATTTTCAGATTATTAAAGTACACGTGTAAATCTAAAATCAAGGTGGTACTCCATATTTCAATGTGAGCCATTTTAGAACATAATATGCCCTGAACTAATTGCAAATGAATCAATTAATCGAAACAATATCAGTTCCGGCCTTCCTAAGGTTACGACCACTTACTTGGCCTTGTTATTGACTAGAAAGAAAAGGGGTAACAGACCGCTTTTTCTTTCAACGCTACTGCAACCATACTACGGGGGAAATCGACTGTCAGTTTCCTCTGTTTTGCCGAAAGCAACTTGAGTATTTATTTTCAGCGCACGTACATTAACTTCGCGAGTACCAACGTATACCAGCCATGTTTGTTTCAGACGGTAAATAAGAGTTTTCCAACTTGCGTGTGAAACAAAGAGAAATATCCTGTTCGGGGATGAACAACATTTCCCTTTCAAAACCAATCACTAGGTGTTAATTGCTAGAAAAGAATATTATGTGGCTTTTCTAAGAAGAAAATTATGAAATTTTGCGTATTTGATAAGTACTCTTGTCATTTCTCTTGGTGAGTAAAATGCTTTGAGACTACACATGGCTGTTGACTGAAAAAGTGTATTTAAGTTGTAATTATTTAATTTTTAATTATACTGTAGTTTTTAATTTTAAAATATGATTTCGTAGTTTTTAATAATTTATAAAGCTCCGTGGCTTCATAAATTATTGAGTATTTAAGAACTATTATCTTAATGAATTGAATAATTTATTACATCTCCAAAGTTCACAGTGACAGAAATTGCATAAAACTGAAAATTTATTACATTTCAATTTTAAAATGAAACTGTCATTAAAAAAAAAAAAAAAAAAAAAAAAAAAAACCTCCCGATTTGCCTTCAAATTAAGATTTTTATTGTAAGCCGAATGAATAGCGCTGTCAGTTTAGTATTATCACCATTATAATTGTTTATGTGTTTAAGTGAGGTTGTAAAGTATTTTATGTTAATTAAGCAACTATTATAATTTAAATCATTATGATTATTCTATAGAATTATTAAATAAATTAAATTACTATGATTATTCTATAGAATGGCTAGATATTATATAATTTGCCTAATTAAAGTATACAATAATTCTCATATTTCATACTTTGCCTAAGAACCCCAGGCATTCTATAAACTAAGTATTCTATAGAATGCCGGCGTTTCATACATTGTCCGTAACATATATATAACATAATGCATCTATGCTAGTATATTATTATTCAAACAGGAAGTAAACTTCAGATTTGCATGGTATTGATCTAAGTATACAGATCCCTGTCATTAATCAAGCTTTTATACGAAAAGCAACAAGTAGCATTTGAATACATGCTTCATAAATGTCCTTTGTGCTGTAATAAAGTGCATAACAAAAAGTCCAAAAATCTGAAAACTTTCAGATTTTATATTACGCCCAAAAGGGCATTTTTTTGACGTTTTGTCTGTTACCTTTATTTGTTAAATATGATGTTCTTCGCACTTAAACCATAAAATTCAATTCAACAGCAATATTGCAAAATAATTTTAAAAGAGCATGTCTTTAGAATTTCCAATACACAGTCTCGCGCGCTGGAGATAAAAAAACTTTTTTTTTTATTTTTTCGTGCGGTGTTGCCATGGCTTTCTTTGAAAACGTCGAGTTTATTAATCAAAAATTCGTTAAGTTTTACAAAATATGAAATCGATAATAAAACAAATTCCAAATTAGGGCTTTCAGATGCCGATATTCGAGTGGAGGACTACGTTATTCAAAATTCGATGTCTCTAGGGTACCGTTCCTTTTTTACAGTGCGAGAAATACAGAGAAACATATATTTTTATTATTTTATTATTTTTATATATTTTTACAGAGATACATATATATATTCAGATTCTTCATTATTTCATTAAATATAATGCAGGGCTTTAATATTTGATAGCAACAATTTGAAAAGTGTGTAGAGACATTAGGATTTTTTCGAAAGCCGGAAAGATGAAAAATATGCAACCGCCTTCGCCGGGAATCGAAGCACGGACCTCTGGAATACCGGCCCAGCGTGCTACCGTTACAGCACGAAGGCACGCCAGGGAAGTGGGAGAAATACCTTATATACTCCCCTTTTTAAAGGGCGACTAGGGTTTTAGGGGACCTAGTCGCCAAATCCTGGGTGCGGAGAATCATCATCCACAACCCTTTTAGTTCGGACGCCACTTGTGGAGTCATTAGGTTAATTGGAAAAGCCGTAGAGATGAAAAATCAGTAACCGCCTTTGCCGGGAATCGAACCACGGAATCATCATCCACAACCCTTTTAGTTCTGGCGCCACTGTAGAGACATTAGGATTTTTTTGGAAGCCAGAGAGATGAAAAATTAGTAACTGCCTTCGCCGGGAATCGAACCACGGATCTCTGGAATACCGGCCAAGCGTGCAGAACCGCTGCACCACGAAGGCACGCTAGGGAAGTGGGAGAAATACCTTATAAGTGCTTATAGTAAACGAACGCAAAAATTAACGAAATTCATAGCCCATGCGGGCAAATTCCCTCTTTGGGCTAGTTACGTGTTTTATGGTCATAAAAGGCATAATCTAAAGGTTAATTCTGAATATTTCATGTTTTCAGAGCTTGAGGATATTAATAAATCTGACGGACAGAAATGAAAATTAGACATCTTAAAACTGAAGTAAATAGTAAGTTAAATGCATTCCGTCCTTTTCATATGCATATCAGACATTAAAAATAAAGAAGGCAAGCAATGTAGTTTCATAAACTCTGATTATTTAAATAACACTATTCATTTAGAGCTTGCAAAGAACAAGCGTGGCATACTTGAAACAAAAATTTTGATTTAGTCTTGCCTCATTCGGTTATCAGAGTGATTATTTTGAAAGAATTTGTGTTTTTTAGGGGCAGGGGTAGACCTACGTCACGCTCAATTCAGTATGCAACAAAATGATTCGATATAACTACTCAAAGTTGCCTAAATCGAACAAGGAAGAAGAACGACTGTTATGCTTTTATTCTATAAACCTTAAGTCGTTAATTTAATATTTATTATTACGCTTCTTTACAAGTTTAAAGCCTTCATTTAAGAATCACGTCTGCTACTTAATATGAACTATAAAACAAATTTGCAGTGTTTTTCACATGCACATATAAATGAAACTCTTTAAATCTAGTTTAGATATCAATAACTTAGTAAAAAGCGTAATTTGCGTCGCGTCTCATTTCTAAGCAATATTTAGGTAATTTTTGTAAAAAAAACTTTCGTTATCACATGCTGAAAACCAAATTTCAAAATAAAGGGCAACCCAAAAGTCTGTTAACATTTGAAAAGTCAATAATTCACGGAATACTGTAAGCAGAGAGGTAAAAATTAACACACTTGCTTGAAAATGACATGGAATTTTATTGAAAGCAAAAAAAAAAAAAAAAAAAATTAACATATGGCGTTTGGGCAGCAAAACGTCAGTTATGCCGCATTGAGAATCCTATATAAAATGAGCTGTAGTGAGAGAGGGAATCAATCCCTTCATGACTTGCCACATTTTTATCCTCGCCTCCGGGTTTTGGTCACGGTGTGATGTGGATTTATTGCATCAATCGTGATCCGACCCTTTTCTTTTTCGGGGGAAATGCGTGGTTCTGCTATTCAGACCGTCAATGTGACGGATGCAAGGTAGGTTGATATGTTATAGAATCTCATCGGTGTCCGCCGATAACATCGCGGCAAAAACATCGCGGACGAAAACGTCGCGGAGAAAACAACGGAAGGCAAAAACGTCGTGCTACAAAACATCGTGGGGGAAAACATCGCGGAGAAAACAACGCAAGGCAAAAACGTCGTGCTACAACACATCGTGGGGGAAAACATCGCAAAGAGAAAACATCGCAGTTCTAAAACATCGCGGTACAAAACATCATCGTCGAAATAAAGCGGTTCAAAAACTTCGCAGTTTAAAACATCGTCGTCGAAAATATCGTGGTAAAAAATAAAGTATCTACAAATCATCGCATGACGATAACATCGCAGACATGCTTTTTTCAGGTTTTAATAATTGTAAATGGATATTCCCATAATGATTTGTGAGCGCAAGATGTAAAGAAGGATAATTTTTACTTTCACATTTTTTATTAACTAATAAATTTTTGCTGAAAAAGTAAGAAGGAAACTTAAGCATAGAAAATTAAATGCAAATTATACATTATACTTTTCATGAAAAACTTACCAGTAAAAACTTTATAAAAATGATTTATTAATGGACCTTTGTTAGTTAACTATGTCGGTTTAAAATTCTATTAAGTGCTATAAGTTGCATTAATTTTCTATGCTTAAGTTTCCTTTTTATTTTCTCAGCAAAAATTTATTAGTTAATAAAAAGTATTGAAAGTAAAAATTATCCTTCTTTCCTCTTTGCGCTCACAAATCATTATGGGAATATCCATTTACAGTTATTAAAGCCTGAAAAAGCATGTCTGCGATGTTATCGTCATGCGATGATTTGTAGATACTTTATTTTTTACCACGATATTTTCGACGACGATGTTTTTAAATTGCGAAGTTTTTTGAACCGCTTTATTTTCGACGACGATGTTTCGTACCGCGATGTTTTAGAACTGCGATGTTTTCTCTTTGCGATGTTTACTCCCACGATGTTTTGTAGCACGACGTTTTTGCCTTGCGTTGTTTTCCTCGCGAAGTTTTCGTCCGCGATGTTTTCGGCTGTAACCATCTCATCATCCCTAGTCTGGCTGATAAACACCTTGCATAAAGTATGACTTTTATGCAGTACGCTCCACGCCATATTGCTACGCGTGTGAAAGCTCTCATGCATATATCGTTTGGTGAGGATGGCGTGCTGAGCCACTACTTCCGTCATGCTTGGCCTCTCAGGTTCCCAGATCTTAATCCGTGTGGTTACTTGAAATAGAAAGTCTATCGCGAACGTCCGACCTCATTAGGGATGTTAAAAGACAACATCCGACTGCAATTTCTCACCATGCCTACAGATACGCTGTACTGTTGACAACATTGTCACTTGACTACAGGCATTATTGATGAATGATGGCCAGCATGTTGAGCATTTTTGTACAAAACACATTCTTAGCTAAAAAATCAATTGTTATGCTAATTATTTGCTTTGTTATCATACACTGGTTATCATAAATTAAGGAAAAATCACAAAAATCACGATTACTGAAAAAGTTACAAGCAGAATTTTATGAAACTTACCCACAATATACAACACATAGTTAGGTATCAAATAACATAAAAATAAATTACCAGACAATTATGGTAGTATAGAAATTAGCACGTGTATAAAATGAACAAATCGAAGGTTTCCTATAGGAAAAGTACCTTCAATATGGAATATGGTCGCCTCTAGAAGCAATACAGCACATATAGCGATGGGTGATGCTTTCAATTATGCGGTCTATCAGTTCCATAGGAAGCAAGAGCCATTGCTCTTGCAAAGCAGTTGCAAGCGCGCCAAGGATCTGAGGGAGCGGCAAATTGAGAGCAAGCTAGACATCTCTCTAAAGCATCCCA